AATCTTCCTCTAGTCGAGTTCTGATTATTGAGCCATCGAGGCTAGGTCAAAAGGGTACTACTGTCTGCAAGCTTGGGTGTTCTTGTGCATCTCCCCTCACTTCATATCAGCTGGATGCTTCACTCTCAGCTCTAGTCCTCTGTGGCGATATCCTTGTACATGGGCTCAAGTGTCCTCAGTTCTCACCACACTTTGGACCAAACAGCCCTTCTTCTCTCTCTCACCTCTAGGTCAATGGGATTCATTGGACTGTGGTTGAACTCAGCCCATTTCTTCATTGTTGCCTTTCCCCTCTTCCACTCACCAGTAGAGCAATGTGGTCACCAGCAAGCTTACATTCTTGTTTGTGTGTTCCCTTTCAGTTTCAGTCTTGGAGGGGAGTTTGTCCTGAAAGCACTTGATTGCTAGCCTTGATGTCTTCTTGGCGAACAGCTTGTTTATTCTTATAGTAGCCAGTCATGCTGACATTTTTGTTTTGGGTTTTTCCTGATGATCTTTCTTTGAAGATGTATCTTCTGTCACTGTAGCTGTTCCAGGCTGGTCTGCTTGTCCTTTCTAGTGGAAATGTCCCACCTCATAATGTTCTGGATGGGACTCAGGATTACACCTAAGGTCCTGTATGCTACAAAGGCTTTGCAAGAGGCCTATTTCACTGGGCAAATTCTAGAACCTCTTTTAGGTATTCTAATCAGTTATAGGTTGAAGACGGGCTTACAAGTTTTCTCCAATCATGTTTCCCAGCATTCCTTTCTATCCCACTAACCCTCTGATCTTTGTCCTTGGGTAAATGCTGCCCTTTTGATCTCAAATGGTTGATGATTCTAAGGTTTGTGTACCTTCCCAGTGTTACTGTTTCCCCTATAGACCTGTCTATTGTTTGTCTGAAAATTGACCCATGAGGGTGAGTTCATTTTCAGACCAGAAGGATGACTAAGGGTCATAGTTGTGGGGGTTCCTCAGTCTCTATCTAACCAGTAAGCATAGTCTTTTTTTATGGTTCTGAATTTTGTTTTACATTTTTCTCCCTCTGTATCCAAGATCTTCTACTGTGATCCTTTTAGTTAGTTAGTTAGTTAGTTAGTGGTAGTTAGCTGGGCACCATCTAGTTCTTTGGGGCTCAGAATCATAGAGACTGATGTTCGCATGGTCCATTAGATTTCAATTTTCATCATTATTCCTTCCTCCAGATGGGGATGTTGTTGTTGTTGTTAAGTGC